AAATGCAGATCACAGAAACAGATTGTTGCTACGGGCACAAGTCTGTAGACTTCCACAGTGGAAAAACTTTACAAACTTTCTACAGGCATTTATTGATAAATGCTTTTGCTGTTCCACGCCTATAGGAGTTCCTTAGAAAATGAGCAGCTGTCGTTTGTGAATGGACACAAAGGAAGTTGTGTGGGGAGGTGACTCAGTGGTTGGAGAGGTCATCCAACATTTGGGAGAGCTTGGCTTCAGCTCCTAGCTCTGCTGGAGAAAAAAAAAATGATGCTACTTGGAGCATTGCCTTATTTGTGCTGGGTGTGGTGGCTCATGCCTTAATGCCAGCTTCTGGAAAGCTCAGGCAGATGGATTGCCATGAGTTTGAGGCCAGCCTGGGCTACATAATGAGCTCCAGGTTTGCCTGGGCTGGGGATAGTATTACTGTCAGCTATTCTATGATTTTTAAATGTCTTAACTTGATGCTTCTATTTTATCCACCAAAACAGGTCATATATTTTACTGAGTGTCTATGAATTATTATGCCAGGGTAAAAGATTGGATTGGTTTTTGTATTTTTACTTTCTACTAGGAAAGTGGAATTACCCTCTCCTTCTTGATCGACCTGCACGGGTTTGAGGTTAAGAAAGCAGTTGAAGAGGTCATAACTTCCTTTGGTTTTGGTAACCATGGTATCAGCAAAGTGACAGACTCTCAGCATCTCCTTACCTCCCAAGCACTGTGGCATTAGTGTGCTTGAGTGTGAGATGCTCTATGCAAAGCTAGTGGCAGAGAGAGGTCTTGGAACAGATGCAAGAAATACAACCCTGCCTCCGTTCCTTGTGACCAGGGCAAACTGTCTGAACTCAGAGCCTCCGGCATTAGGAGTCATCATTTTAGTTTCTTGGTCTTGGCCACATTCTCGGCCACATGAAAGGAAAAGCAAGGGGCTGCCCCTCTGAGATCACACTAAGGGTGGGGAGAGTAAGGGGAGATTAAGGGCCTCGGGGATTTCAGAGTCTCCAGTTACAGCCTAAATCCTAATGCTAAACAGAAGAATTAGCAGAACCCTTGTCTTGCCTTTCCCAGACTCTGCCTCAGTAGAGGCTATAGGGTGATTATTTTTGAAATTACATCCAAGGAGAGATGAATACATGGCCACTGAAAGTAAACAGGGTCTATCAGCAGCCTTCGTTAGAATGTGGTCTTTGAAAGGTTTCGTTTTCTGTGAGGTACATATGGAAACCACCTGGGAGCCTAGAATGAGTATGAGCTTGGGAAGCACATTGCTCTGCCAGGGCTGGTGTGTAAGACAGACTAGGGGCCCTGCAGTCTAGGGGCCTAAGAGGCACAGGGTGCTTTCTCAGTAAGGGATGTCAGTTCACAATAAGGCACCAGCAGCCTGCAGGGTAGGAGTCTCTTTAGATCTCCATTTCTGGCTCACATGCACATCTAACACTGTTCTCACCTGGTCCTTTCTCTGTAGAGAGAAGAGGAGAGAGAGAGAGAGGGGGAGAGGGAGAGGGGGGGGGCGGGGGGGGGGGGGGGGGAGGGCGGGAGGGCGGGCGGGAGGGAGGGGGAGAAGAAAAGGCAGAAGAGGAGAGGAGAGAAAACAAAGAAGGAGTAGCCTCAGTTTCCCTTGCCTGGTTGCATTAGGGCATCACCTTTAGAACCTCATTTAACCTTAATTACCTCTTTAAAGGTCCTCTAAGTAAGATGGGCACAGGGCTTCAACATACCGATTGGGTGAGGACGTAGACACAAGTCACTGCCTAATCACCGTGAATTTTTTTGAACATGAAGTGGTTTGGTTTGTTCTAGCTGCCATAATAAAATACCAGAGATTGAGTATATTAAGCAACATAGATTTATTTTTGGCAGGCTTGCGGTCTAAAGTATAAATGCAGTGTGCCAGTCGGGTTGGTTTCTTTGGAAGCTTTGTTCCCTGGTGTAATGGTTTGAATGTGAAATGTCTGTCACAGCCTCCTGTTTTGAGGGCATGCCCTCTGATGGTGTTATTTTAGGTAGTTCCTAAAGCCTTTGGAAGACGGGCCTACCTAGAGGGAATAAGTCACAGGGTGCAGGTTATTGCGAGTATGCTATCCCTGCCAACTTCCCGACATGCTCTCTGTTTCCTGGCCCACTGTGATATGAAAAGCCTCTGCCACTTACTCTGCCAACATGATCTCAGCTATTCCATTGGGTCCTGTCCGACATGATTGACTGAGACCCTCTGTCACGGAATGATAGTCACAGCAATATAAAAGTAGCTAATACACTAGACTTGTTTTGTGATTTTTTTTTTCCTATGGCGGCTTGAACAAATGTCTATTCACCCCAGATAGAACATCAATAACAGGCCAAAGAAAGAATTCCACCTGTTAGCTTGGTGACAGTGATTTTACTGCAGTCATGCCAGCAGCCTAGATCACCCAATAGCAGCTACACGCTGAAGAGCCCTCCCGGCCTGAGCCACAAAACCTGTATCCCTGAAGCCAGTCGCACAACCTGCAATCAAGTCCGCTGAAGAGTCTCCACTCCCCAGCCATCCCCAGCCATAGTTTGCTGTATTTATGACCTCGAGGAAAAGCCTGTGGAATCTCCAAACTTTTCAGCTTCTGAAGTTCTTGCTACTTCCAGAGTCTTGAAGGTTTTCTTCTCATTCTGAGGCCTCGATTCAGAGAAACAGCCACACAGCACTTGCGGCGGCCACCCCTCCCACACAACCACCCCTCTGCCTCCTGCTGTGCTCCTGTGTTCCCATTTTTCCGGAAAGGGGTCATTAGGTTGGGGTCTTTAATAATAACCTCATCTTGTCTTTGGTACACTTTTAAGGCCCCCATCTTCACACTTCACCCTCGGTCACCAGTCACCAGGGCTTGCTTTAGATATTCTCATTACTGTGACAAAAATCCCTGACTAAAGCAACATAGAGGACAAAGGGTTTGCTCTGGCTTGTAGTTGATAGAGATTGTTCTGCCCCAGCAGGAAGGACCTGGCTTCTGGCAGAAAAGGCAGGGAAGGAGCAGGAGGCCAGATGACTACGGTGCATCAGCCATCAAGGAGCAGAGAGGAAGGAGGAGTGAGGCCAGGCAAGAAGACCTGCCCCCAGGGACCTACTTCCTCCAGTGAAAGCCCACAGCCTTCTCAATCAGGGTCCGCAGCTAGGACGTTTCACATTCAAACCACAACAGGACTTCAGCAAATGTATTTGAGGGAACGAGATTGAGACCATGATTTAAAACTTAATTTAAGTTTAAATTTTGGAGATGCCAAAATTAGAGATCAGTGCCGTGATAAAAATCAGACCTGGTGTGCATTAATTTGTAATAAAATACGCTTCATGGATGGCATCAAGACCTTAAGAACATGTCTATAAGAAACACCCAACTCATGCCCAATCTGTTTATTATTTTCTTCACAATCTTGTGGGGGAAGTCATATTGTAACGTGTAGTGTGTCATATTGTAATGTGTAGTGTGTCTATTGCCATTTAGTGCTGGGTTTTAAACTTTACCACCTCTGTGTACTTGATGCAGGAGTTTTTAAATGCCTTAGCACATGCCGCGTTTTCCCCTGTCCTAATGCTGTAGCTTTCAGGTTTTAATTGCACTATGGTGAGATGGGATATGGATGAAAATAATTATTTTTATTTTAAAGGGGCTAAAACTTTCTCTGTGGCTTAAACTTTTCCAAAATGTGTAACCGCCCATTTGGTTTGAGGAAAAAAAAATAGATTCCTTAGTTATTAGGTGTTGGTTACATAAAGTGCCACTAAATATCAACTGTCTTATCAAATTTTCCAGTCTGTGATAAAGGCTGGGGGGGTATAGATTCTTTGTGCCTATAATTACTGCTCAGGCTGGTGATGTTTTCTAAAATATCATAGTTTCACTATATTTTCTTGCACCTAGCTTGTTTTGTTTTATAAATCTTGATATAACTCTAAATGATTTGTGTTTAAAACTGTCTCTTTTTCGTGAAGTTCAAGGCTTATTGTTATTTAGCAATTTTCTATACTCTGATATTTTCATATCAAGAACCCTGTTACTTGATATTACTCTGAAGATTCTAGAGTTCTTCAGTTAGTGTCTGCCTGGTTGTCACTCGCCACTTTTTTTTTTTTTATTCTGAATGTTGATATTGTTCTGCGTCTTTACTCTACTAGCATATAGCCAAACGGAGCTTCTCTTTCATCTTGCAGCAGGACTTGTGACTTTTATAGGTGTGGCTCAGTCTTTCACCTTCTCGTGTTATTATTTGTTTGGCTTTTATTTACCTTAACGAGTTTGCGCTCTTTCACTTTCTCTTGCTCTCCATTCATGTAGTTAATTGAATACACACTCTCCTTCTGCGGCCCTTGTTTACCGTTGGAATAAGTATACACTCTTTGTTCTTTTGGGAGTTTATATACTTCTTTATTCTCAAGGCCCCTCATGTTATTTCGTTTAATTAAAAAGCAAGCAATGATTTGGTGTGCTCTTCCCTGAGGAGGGCCACATCTCCTGCTCCCAGGTTTACTCAATAATTGCCAGTAGCTCTCCGTGTAGGTAGAGACTTTGTAGGCTTCTTCCTGTCAGCGTGCAATGTTTGTTAGTGTCATCCTTGTTCTGCTCACATTTGCTGTCTGGTACCAAGTCCTCCACCCTGAGCACCCACACAGCAGTAGCATTATAAGGGCTTAACAGCTATATTTAGGAATACACAGTATATACAAATACATACATGCGTGAAATTAATGAAAAGGGGGGCATGAAATTGAAGGAGAGTGGGGAGGAGTCTATGAGAGGGTTTGGAGAGAGGAAGGAGAAGGGAGAAACATTATAAGTAAACTACAAACTCAAAAGTAAACAAAAAAGCAAACAGTTCTAAATAAATACTGAGGGCGAATAAAGTTACGGTAGAGTCGAATGCTCACCTAGTAGAATTCAAGCTGATATTCTGGAAGGGTTCATTAAAGCTGTGCTCACAAAACAGGCAGAAACTTGGCGTATGAACAATAAACATTTATTCTTCATAATCCCACAATCCAGGTCAAAGCACTGTCAAACAAGAGCCTCATTCCAGACACATGGTGTGGCCATGTTGCATCCTTGCAGGCAGAGGGATGAGGTAGATCCCTAGAGTCCCTTTTGTAAGGCCACCAGTGTCTTCCAGGAAGCCCTCTGCCTCGTGGTCCGATCACTTCCCATCACCTTCTGTGAGGAGAACATATGAATTTGGAGAGTAGAAGCACCCCATTCCAGTTCTTACAAACACCCTGACAACGGGCAACATAATGGGAGGAAAGGGTTATTTGGCTTACAATTCTAAAAGAAAGTCCATCGCTTGAGGGAAGTCAAGGTAGGAACCCAACATCTGATCACAGCACACCTACAGTCAAGAACAAAGAAGGAAAAAAGGTCCTTGTTAGATTGGTTGTCCAATGGAAGCCATCCTGATCTAGATAATTCCTTACTAAGACTCTCTTCCGTTTAGGATGAGTCAAAGTGACAGTTTAAAGTGACTCGTACATACCCAGACGGCAGCAGGCAGGACACACACGTCTAACTAGCCAGGTCACAGTGAAGCAGGTGGCGATGACCAGGGGTCCACAAGAGCCTTTGGAGGGGCTTGTGAAGGACCTTCATGCAAAACCCCCAAAGCAGAAATATGTGACGTCCAAATGGAATGAATTAGTTATGCGGCATCCAAATAGAGTCAGTTAATCATGTGGAGTCCAGACAGAACAAGTTAAAGTCAGTTAGGATAGGACTTTCTCCTTTTCTTTTGCGTGTCTCCCAACTGTGCACACACCCCCCCCCAAAAAAAGAAATATGAGAGAGGAGCGTCAGCAGAGGAGAAATCAGGATGAGGAGAAGGAACGAAGGAAGAGTCACCCATGCTAACACTGAAGAGAATGGTCCTACCCCCTCTGCCCTCAGAGAGTTCAGGATCAGGGGAGTGCGCTCTGGGGAGGTGGGGAGATGGGTATAAAGAAACAAGGGATTTAAGACTGGAGGGGGAGGTAAGAGAGGGAGTGAGGGAGCAGGAGGGGAATGGGAGGAGGGGAGGAAGTGGAAATTTTTGAATGAAAAATAAATTTAAAAAATAATAAAGAAATAATAAAAAGACAAGGAGTCCCCTACATGTTTAAATTAGATGAGGCTGTCACAAAACATCTTAGAGTAGACATTTCATTCTTAAATATGTGCAAAAGTAGAAAGAGGAGTAAAATTCATCCCAAAGTATGCATAATTCAGCTCCAACCATTACCCACATCTGGTTGCGCCCTGTGTGTCTTCTTCCTTTCTTTCTTCCGTTGTTGTTGTTTCTTCTTTTTTTGAAATATTTCAGAGCAAATATCAGACCATGCCTCATTAAACATTTCTGGCAGATGTGGACATTTCTAATAAAGGCGTTCACAACATGGTTCTTGAGCTGAAAATAATACAGAACCACTGTGGTGGACTCCGCCTACCCTGGAACGTGGTTGCTCTTGGGGTTGAACTTGGATGAGAAGCTGGGAAGCTGACCACGACGCCATTAATAGACGGTAAAGGCAACGTGACTACATGGTTTAAAGGCAGATTGCAGAAGGGTAGGAAAGAGATGTTTCCAGGTGGCACCAAAGTCAATGTGTCCAGCAAGTTAGTTGGTTGTCTTTGATCAAACTGTATTCTGCATTATACATAACTGGTCTGGCATGAACAAAAAAAAAAAAAAAAAAGGCCTCCAGGTTCAGCGTTCACCATTTTGAACTTGAGTCATTGGGAATTTGCTTCTAGGTATTTCTTGGCCAAAGACTTCCTTTTCCCTTCGTGGCGCACACCACACAATGGAACCTCACTAAAACTGGCAGCTGATTGTAGATGCGGTGACTGTCCATCTTTACATCGACCTGACTACATTTGGAATGCCTAGCTCTGGTTATGTCTATGAGACTGAGCTGGCAAGGGAAGACCCACTCAGAACGTGGGCAGTACCATCCCATAGGTTGGCATCCCAAAATAAATGTAAAGGAGAAAATGAGTTGCTTTCACCTGTGTTTCCTGACTGCAGACAAAATGCTACAGACTTCTGCCACGGACTGGAGCTACGAACTCTGAACCTAGGTAAATTCTCCCTTTCTTAAGTTGCTGTTATTGACTATTTTGCCATAACGGTGAGAAAAGTGACTAGTGCAAATATTACTGCCTAATCCTTGTTTAATGATAGAACTGTGTCATTTTTTAAGATTCAGTGTGTGTGTGTGTGTGTGTGTGTGTGTGAGTGTGCATGCATGTGTGCACGCTCTCGCACTGGCTCCTGGGAAGCCAGAAGAGGGTGCCAGACCCCTGTAGCTGTGCTTTTGTAAAGCCTCAACCTTTCATTTGGAAAGGGGAGCAAAACCTAGTGTGGACAAGACAAGGTGATGCAGGATGAAACAGGAAAAAAGATGTACAGAAACATGGGTGACAGTTCTTGGAGTCTAAGTCCTTGATGTATCTGTTCGTTTGTTTGAACAACTATTTAGTCAATTGCTTTTTCTACTCATCGGCCCTATTGAGAAGACAGCAGCGGATGTAGCCAACAGCCTTGGCCTTTAAAATGCTTGCCTTCTGAAGGATGGGCAAGAGGTTAGGTAACCCCGCTTGCTATTTGCCACTCAGTAGCCAGTGTGGTTTGTTGGAGTAAGCGGAACTCAAGCTGGTCTGAGTCGGCTCTTGAGAAAGCTTTCAGAGGGACCGACGGACAGCCTTTCCCAGCACACGCGGACGTTCACTAGCGATCACCTGTAATACACTCACCAGAATAAAGAGACTTCTTGTGAACTAGTGAGCTGTCCGTGCAGTTGCACGCCTCCAGGTGAAAGAGCAGGCACACCCAGCTGCTCCTCGTTCACCCTGGTCGTCTGTTCCCCCAGAAATCATGTGGAGTGTTTGCAGCAGGGCTTGCATGCTCCTGGGTTCTCGTTTTCATCTTCTGTTTTTAAACCCTGACGAGATGATTATCTTTTCCGTTCTCTATAATCTTTTCTTGTTTCTTTTTTTTCCTCAGGGCACATTTCGGTTATTTATATGGATTTAATATTCTCCCATAATAGCTTTGATCCTAAATTTTATATTTTGAATCAGATTTCATAACCAGAAGGAAATAGAGAGATGGGCCCACCTCTCTGTTGTCATTCAGTCATTTGTCCTGTTTTACCAAGCCTTTTACAACGTGCCACAGGCTCTACCCCAAGCTGGAGATGCAGGAGGAGGCTAGTCAAAGAGGTCCTGCCTGCTTCAACAATAGCTGCAGGCAGGAGAGGCAGACAAAGGAGGGAAAAATCAAGGAGGGAAAAAAATTCATTTTGATAAGCGCTAAATGGAAAAAAATGGGAGATGTGAGAATGTGCAAGGAAGAATCATTTTAGACAGGAGGGTGGGAGAGATCTTGCATGCAGGGTGGGGGAGATGGGGGGCGCGCCGGCCACCGCGGCTGGGGGCGGGGACAAAGGGTGGCATCGCGATCAAAGTTGCACGGAGAAAAGATATGAGATTATCCAGGAAAACAGCATTCGGGGTTCCTAACTGCACCCTGGACTCTGCCCCCCCACCCGGTGTCTCTGTTCCAGAGATAAGCCATGATTTCTGGATTAGCGGGGTTGCTCTTGTGGGTGAGGGTGTGGGACTGTGCCCCAGGCTGTGCTGAGACTTACTAATAATGCTCACGTAAGAGGCTTCTTTACATCTTGGGTTGAAAAGATGAACTAATCACCGGCTGGAGGACGTAAGCCGGGTACTGGCGGTCAGTTACAGCCTTATCCACCCTGCCAGCTGGACCAGCGCTTCTCGTTCATTTGCTTTGAAGTTATTACTTACATCTCTGTATTGCGATGGAGTGACTTTCACCTTGTATAAGGGGACCCATCTCCCCAACTCTTTGCAGGAAGACCTCTATCAGTTTTTCGGTGTGGTTCATTGTTTGTTTCTTTGTTTCTTTGGGCTTAGTAAGAGGCCCTAAGAGGACTTGCTATTGTAAATGAGAATGCTGGGGACGGTGGCCTCTTCGGTTCCCCGTTTTTGTCTGCAGGTATCTCTGTGTGTCTGACTGTACCGCAACAAAAGCTTTAGCGATGGGTTCTGCAGCAACACATCTGTCTTTCAGCACTTTCTTCCCGAGACAGCCTACAGGACCACCCACTTGACTCTCAAGGCGCCATGCAGAAACGCAAGGCCTGCGTTTGCTTCACAAAGTTTCCCAATCGTGTGTCTCTAACAGCTGGACATTTGCAAAATGTGTCATCAGACAGTCCCCTTCCTTGAAGAATGACTGGGTGACAGGGGGCTGTTTCCCTCAGCCTGCCCACCTCTTAGAAACAAGACAAAGGCTCATTGAAAATGCCCTTCTGGTTTTTCTTTCTCGGCTCTCTGGTGCCATCTGGAGGTCTGATGTTACTTTACACCTAAGCTTTAAATGTGTCAATTAGTCCTGTGCGCAGAAGCGAAATGAAACACCAAACTGTGACAGTGTATTAGGTATTTGATCAAATATCCTTTCTAATTCAATACCAATAGCATTGCTGGTCCCCTGTGTAAGAGGTAGGGAAGGATCAGCATGTGTTCGCCACATTGAGAAGGCACCGTTGGCAACAGCTTCCTATACATAGACTCCACATTAGACCAAGTTCAAGCGTTAGAAGGACAATGAAAGACAACTAAAGCTTTTGTTTGGCTCAAGTACCAGCTCTATCACTTATATAAACACCTAGAGGGGACTCTGACCACCTTTAGTGTGGTGAGTATGGCTCTTCCAGGCTTTGTCCTTCTCCCCCATTTCCTTTGCCTTGCATAAAACAAAAACACATTTTATTATATTCCTAAAGCTAGTCACTGAGATCTATTCCCTTATTTGGCCACTTCCTCCTCCTGAGGATGACTACCAAGGTCCAGATACAGAAGTATTAAAGTCTAGCAATCAAAAGCCCCCTTTGACTCACCTAATTAAGATGCTCAATTAAAATTGAACACCTTATCCTAACACAGATAGGATACCTTTTACCTTTGTAAACCAACAAGCTTACTCTCCGCTACCCTGCCTAATGTCAGCATATTACAAACTCGCCAAGGGACTCATTCACTGGCTCAGAGACCTCAGGATCCAGTTTCTCCCCCCAACGCCCATCAACCAGTACGTGAGTGCCCAAGACACTCACCCAGTGTGTGGTGCTGTTCAAAATCAAAATGTAAGTTGTTCTCTTGCCTTCTAATTTAGTCAGGAGCATGATAGAAGCACACTTGTAGTTCATGCCTATTGTGAAGAATGTCATCCTAGATATAAGTCAAAGTTTACGTATAGGGTAAAACAGTGGGTGTGTATGGGAGAATCTAAAACCCCCTGGAAGTGGAGAAACAGGAGAGCCACAGTCACCAGTAAGGTGACCATCACAGAGTAATGAAGGAAGGCGTGGTTACAGAGTATGCTAGAAAGGACGCTTTTCACTTTTCTTAAATTCATATGAACACAGTTTAACTTCTGAAAAGAAGGAACAGTTCATCTAACATTAATGATTGCTGTTGTCATGGCCCTGGCAACATGGCGATTCTGTATCATAGCATAGTATGGAGGGAGTTTCCCCATGCGGGACCACCAGAGACTTTTCATCTTAATAGGCATTGACTTCGTATATAAAAGGCACACGGACAGTACTTAGCCCGCCGGTGTTATATAATAGTATTAGAGCCTGTGAATCCAGAAAGAGTTCCAAAACAGTTGTGCATGATACATAGGCTAGGTTTGAAAATGCAGTCAGCGTAACATTCTCTTCAGTGAGGAAAGTTAAGAAGTTATTCGGGGAAAATAAACGCTCAATGACCATGTTGCTTGCTGGGCGACAGACTCTTGGTACATCAGTTATCACACCCTTCACACTAAAAGGTTGGTCCTCGGGTAAATACATCACACTAATTAAAATGGTGAAGGTTTTCTGAAATGCACTTCCGGGTGACTGACTGAAGTTGTGGAACCATCCGACCTGGGTAAGGCGACCCATGAAACGGTTTTCTCTTTTCTCCGGTCTTTTACTCTCAAACCTGACTGCCGGCATCTTGCCTTCCCCAGGATTTATTAGACACTTTGGACAAATCCCATGGCTTTTCCGTCTCTTCCGAGAACTGAAGTGAAATTTTAAAGCTCACTCTAGTCTGGCTTATTTTGAATTTCGATCACTCACCCATCTGCTTCCCAAAGCCAGGTGGACATCAGACCAGAAACATGAATGTTGTCTTTCTGTTTCTACCTTTGGGCAGAGAGAACGGGTTGGAAAAGAAGGCCAACAGTGTGATTATTTAACTATATTGTGGTAGCCTCTGTGTCGCCTGAGAGGCTGGTGTGTTGAAGGCTTAGTCCTCAGCTGGTGGATAGAGAAGTGGTTGGATCATGACAGCCATGATCTAATCAATGGCCTCATCCTTAGCCTCCTAACATGGTGACGTCACTCAGAGGTGGGGCGGAGGAAGTAGGTCACAGGGGTCTTGACCAGAGAAGATACATTTTTTACACATTCTTTCCACTCCATTCAAGCCTCACTCGCCACTTCCTGGCATCCGCAAGGTGAGATGTTTGGCTCCACCCTGCTCCAGACAGTAGTTTCTTGCCTCACCTGACTCACGGGGCCCAATACAGAGAAGCCACAAGTCCACAGGAAGGAACCCATAAAACTATGAGCCAACGTAAATCTTTCATATATATATATATATATATATATATATATATATATATATATAGAGAGAGAGAGAGAGAGAGAGAGAGAGAGAGAGAGAGAACTGGAAAGTTGACACTGACAGCAAGTCCAGCTTAACTCCTTAACCAGAGAGATGCTCTTGTCTGTGTGCTTTCTGGTCAGCCTCCAGTTGCTCCTATCGGGCCCATAGGGCTCTTGTTTTAAAACCAAAAAACAAACAAACCCCACCAAGCTTTTTCCCTTGGTATCAAGTGTTGAAAAGCAAGTAATCTGCCCACTGCCGCCCTCCTCCTCTGCCATCCCACTCCTCTCCCTGCCTTCTTCAGTGTTTACATGGAGCAGAGAGAAGCCCTACAGGTTCCTGCAGATGTGCCCCAGGGCCTGAGATGGCATGCTCTCCCTCTTCTAAGGCAGGGAGCATCAGCATCTCAGTGAGTGGCTTGTAGAGCGCTTCTCATACTGTCTGGCAACTGGTGAGGACTAAGACATCATACCCTGCCTGAATGGATCTCAGTGGTAGAGCACCCGCCTAGCACGCCTAAGGCCTTGTGCTTCTCCCCAGCCCTGGAAAGGAGAGAGATGAAGACAGACACAGAGAAGTCCTCAAACTCAACCCCAAAGCCCTGTCTTAGCTGCTGTGCTTGCTGCTGGGATACAATGCTTTGACAGCAGCGACTTCAGTGAGAAAGGGTTGATTCTGGCTCCAGATTTGAAGCACAGCCTATCCTGGGCAGTCAGGGTACCTGGAACTTGAAGCAGATGGTCCCTCTCTCTCTCTCTCTCTCTCCCTCTCTCACTCTCTCTCTCACTCTCGCTCTCGCTCTCTCTAGTCTAGAATCCCATCCCAGTGACTGGGGCCACCCACACTTGATGCATCTTCCTACCTCAATTAATGTAATCAAGACAACTCCCAACAGGCATCCCAACAGCCCATCCCCCAGTTGACAGCTGAGCTCAATCATCCTGAACAGGCACCCCAACAGCCTCTTGCTCTTAAACACATAGAGGCACACAGGAAGCTGATGTAATCCTGTAAGGGCATCCATCTCTTGAGAGCTCCTGGACCACTCTTTTTGGAATGTTCCAACACTGGACACTTCCTGTCTTCAGCTCAGAGGCCACATCCTAAAATTGACAGAGGACAGAGAGAGTCTCAAGACCCTGTTGTCACGGTGGTGGTGTTGTTGTCTTAAAATCTTTTTTGAGACTCTTCCTTTGTCTCCGGAACCTTTTCCCTTGGCAGCCAGCAAGGCCCCACAGGAAAAAGTAGAATCGTACCCTTGCTGCCAATTTCTTGGTGAAATTTGCTAAAAATATGTATTCTCTCTAGGCATGATTTGATTAGACTTCAACTTTCCTTCTGCAAATTTTGTAAACATTAAATGAAGGCCGGGTGTTCTATTTCCGTGACGTGCAGCTTTTTAGGAAGAAAATAGTGAACGGATGCGCATCCCGGTACACATTGCTGTTGAGTACAGCTGGTTATGTTCTTGACACCTCTGAGGTTCAGTTTACGATAGAGTTTACAGCATGCCAGAACATGCCTACAATCTTCCCAAGAGGCTGAGACAAAAGGATGGTGAATTCAGGAACAGCCTGAACTACAGTGATCCACTATTCAAAATAAGTCAATCAATCAATAAAATAGAATTCTCAGAGAACTCTGATAAATGGAAACGGGAAACATTAAGACTTTCTCACACGTGTGTGTGGTGTCACACGCAATCAA